TTTATTTATTTATTTATTTACACCCCGCCCATCTGGTCTACAAGACATGACTTAATGACTAAACAACAACAATGATGAAGTTATCAAAACTGGCCACTAGAGGGCACCAGAGACCATGCTACGTATATACAACATGCTAGAGGAAATATATTTCCATGATGACATTACCAGAAGTGGCTATTAGAGGGAGCCAGAGACTATAGTGATTGCTATTTAAATAGTGTTCTCTATAATCCATGTTTTTCAGCATCCATGGGATGTCTTGGATCACCCATGGATATGAGGGTCCCACTATATTCAAAAGTTTCAAAAAATTGTTTAATTTAACAGAACAGCTCCAGAGCTTCTGGGAAAGAAAGTGGGTTGCTTCTGTCTCTCTGGAAGTCCTAGAAATGTTACATGTAACAAAGGGAAAATGGATTTGAATGAATTGCAAAGGAATGCAATGAGAGTCGGAAAGTAAGAAATGTTTGCAATTCTTCCTTCTCACTTTCTCTGAATATGCAAATACTTCTCTGAAATTACCTTCAAATAAAAATTTGAAAAAGCCTTTTCATGAATGAGAAATGCAGCACAAAATGCTATTAAAGCATACCTAGCATCTGGCACAATTTATTACCTTATCACTAGTTAACTACCTCAAGTCTTTCCACAGGAGATTAATGACACATATAAGTTATATTTACAACCTTTACTAGCCCTATCCATATCCTTGATATTGTGCATAAGGAATCTGTTTCTCAAAAGCTGTCCTGCCATATTGCAAAGCTGGTTTGCAAAACAGTTTGGCATGCCTAGCTCATGTTAGGACCTCAGATACGCCAACATGTGAATGAGTTCCAATGAGTTCAACAGAATTACTTCTGAATAAACATGTATAGGATCATACTGTAAAGGCACTGCTGAATGCGAGCCAACAGTATAATGTGGCTACAAAAAAGGCTGCATTAACAGAAGTAAAGTTTCCAAATGCTGCAAGCAAGGCTGCATTAACAGAAGTAAAGTTTCCACATCCTGCAAGGTGCTAGTTTCCCTATATTCAGCACTGATTAGGCCTCACCTTGAGTACTGTGTCCAGTTCTGGACACCACACTTCAAGAAGGGTGCTGTCAAATTGGACCAATTCAGAAGAGGGCAACAAGAATGATCAGGGGGCTGGAAAACAAATCCTAACAGGAAAGACTGAAAGAATCGGGCATGTTTAGCCTTGAGAAAAGAAAACAGAGGGGTGATATGATAACACTTTTCAAATACTTGAAATGCTGTCATATAGAGGAGGGGCAAGATCTATTCTTGATCATTTTTCAGGGGGTGGATAAAGTGGATAGAGGGACCCTCTTTTCCCTCTCTCGCAATACCAGAACCAGGGGACATCCACTCAAATTGAGTGTTGGGAGAGTGAGAACAGACAAAAGAAAATATTTCTTTACCAAGCATGTTGTTAGTCTGTGGAACTCCTCTCTCGCAATACCAGAACCAGGGGACATCCACTCAAATTGAGTGTTGGGAGAGTGAGAACAGACAAAAGAAAATATTTCTTTACCAAGCATGTTGTTAGTCTGTGGAACTCCTTGCCACAGGACATGGTG